TGGTTCTGGCGAGTTAAGAAAATGTTTGTCTCCCTGAGCTCGGCCTTCATAATCCCATTCCATCACATTTCCTAGCAATAGGAAAGAGGTGTCTGCATGAGGATCTCCACAACTGAATCAGAAGCATGCATAAATCGCACATGCGCTATGATGTGGATAGCAATCTGCAAGCATCAGGATGCGGCATGGGGCAAATTTCGGATACGCACCTGCATCCACATTCCACTTGCCTCTGCTCTTCGGCCAAAGAGCAGCCAGAACCGCTTACCAAGATGCACGGTCACAGGGCCACACTCTTAAAAAAGAGCCCACAGAAATAGAAATAAAGGGAGCGGGACAAAAGGGGGAGGAAAAGCAAACACAGGGAGCTCTTAGTCACTAAGCTCTTACCACAGCCAGATGGATGCCGAGCAGCGCAGAGAGAGGAGCCAAAAGTTGCTCGGTTCTCGGCCAAAACTTGGGGTACTCCACACCTGCTGCTTGGTGACAGCTAGAGAAGGGAGGACAGAGCCTTTGGGGAGGCAACGACCCCAGCTCCACATTGGAAGGAGGCCCCATCCGGACTATGGATCAGGATTTAAAATTTATTTATCATGTTTATGAGATCAGTTTATAAAGCTGGCCATCTTGCAGCTGCAATCCTGGGCAGCAAACCCAGGATTAAAAGCCAGCAAACACAATCCTTTTCATTCAAAGCAGTAACCTTCGATTAAAAGATAATCTCAAGAGTTACTTCTGTACTGGACCATTGACTTTAATGGACACAAAAGCAGGGAGAAAGAATGACATTGATGTGAGGTAGAACACAGGGGGGATGGTGGGGCTCAAATGAGGCATCTTCTGTGACTGGGTCTCTCCGAGCTTTAAAAGGCCCTGAGGGAGAACTGTCATCTTTTGACTCTTTTCAAGGCCTGCATGAAGACAATTCGGTATGGGCCTCTCCTCAATCAACCAATAACTGATGTGTTTTTGGCTGCCATGGGAGAGTCCCTTCTCGGTGAAAGTTCATGTGCCACGGGAGACCTTGATCAAGGTTCTTCTGCTGAGTGGAAAAGAGTTGCTTGATCTGGAAAGGAGTCCACTGGACAGCTTCTTCTTCTGATTCAGGTACGGCTTTTTGCTGGAGTGTTTTGAAACATTTGTTATCCAGTTTTGTAGTTTTGCCATGTAAATGTACCTTTTTGCACTTTAATTATTATATTTTTACTTTTCCATACATGGTTTAAACATAATACAAGAAAGATAGGTTAGAAATGTTAATAACTTCTTCACCAGGCAGATTTTTATTTTATTTTTTTACAATTTTTGTTACCAATCCCTTTTAACTGAAGATGCTGGGAATCACACATTAGCCCTTATTGCGTCGTACCAGACCCCAGCCATTCCTTGGCAAGCTGGTTTTATATCCCCCCACATTAAAGACCCACAAGCCAAAAATGTCTTCATAAAATACCTGAAATATTTTTGCAGATCTAAAAGGTGTAACAGATAATGGTGCTTAAATATATGCATAACATGTATTTAATATATTTAAAATGTAAATATTGGATGTAGATTACATAAGCTTATATTAAAAATATCTAGGGCATCTGATTGCCAGGTTCATACTGACTATGGAATGAAGCAGTGAGATTGTGGCTATTGAGCAGCCTCTGCTGGTGATTACAAGGCACAGTTATTTTGAGATGAGACCTGAAAAAAAAAGAGAGAAATCAAAGTCCCCTTAAAAAAACATTTTTGTAATATTGCAACATGAAATGTAATCAAGCTTGTCCAATATTCTGTGTCAGCCTGGTTTCCCCATGTTCAATGTTAACAAAGAATTAATTACTGAAGTCATTTGATTTGACTCACAACATTTATTCCAACGTCACGAGCTATTTTGCCAAGAACTTGCTCAACTATTTTTCACTACTAATCTACAAGGCATCTGTCCCCAATAGTTACCATCAGCTTAACCTGTCAGGATTTCATCTGCTCAAATTTAAAGGCCAATCTCTACTGGAGGAAGTTGAGATGACTCCCTTTGCAGTCATAAAAATGCACAGAGACACTCCCCTAGGTGATCTTTCCAATGGCCACGCCTAACTTAAAAAGCAGTGTGCAAGGAAGTGTAGCCACAAAGAAATTCTGGGAATTAGCTCAGCAAAGGGGATGTTGACTAAAACTCATAAAATATATGTAAGTGTTCAAATGTCTTTACTTGGGATGGTGCCAGGAAAAGAGTAAAGAAGAATGTTACAGGAATCTGGTTAAGAGATGTTCTGAATAATGCAACATTGTGAGTGGTCATTGAACATAGCAACCACCTTGCTGTGGAAACAGAAAGTGTAGGGAACTTTACTAAAGACTTTATTTTTGCTAAAAAGGAGAGCTGAGCTAAATAAAACTATTTTCATTCCACCACCTGCCATCCCTGCCATTTTTCATGTACTTCTTATTGTCCTTATAATCCTTGACCACTGCGCACCTGACTTTTCCCCATTTCCTTCTGTGGCCCCAGTTTTGCTTGTGGGGCTCAGATGTTCCTTTCCTGCCAGACATAATGGGCCTATTACCTTAATAACAGTTGTCTCAGGGACTTGATGTAGGGCCCCTTTGCATGTTACTGCAATGCCAATCTGCGCAAGGCTCTGAGCCACCTGCTTACTTTTTCATGGTCTCCTCCTGCATCAATAGCCAGCTTTATCCCAAATAGTGGTAAACCTTCCATTTTTTATTTAAATACACTCAGTTGAGTTTGAAAGTTTATTTTTATATACATACATACATAC